CAAACGCCCACCGGCGATGGCGAGGAGGAGCAAGGAGAGCACCGCCGGCTGAGCTAGGGCCCCTGAGACGTGCGCGGCGGGAGTTTGGGGAGGTGAAAGGTAGGCAGGCTGATGAGTACTTTTCATGAAACTACGAGGGTGTTTGTTTCCAGGGACTTATTGGTTTAGGGACTTAAAAAAGTCTCTATAAGTCCCACCTAAACCAAACACAAGGGACTTATTGGGACTTATTGTGGTGATTTGGGACTTATCAAATAAGACTCTCAGGGAGGAGCTTATTGGGACTTATCCCGGGCCGGACCTACCCCGCGTCGCTCCAGGCTCGTTCCCCGCACGCCGCCTGCCTCTCGGTCCAATCGCCGCCGCCGCCCCGCCTCTCGCCCCGTCGCCGCCCCGCCTCTCGCCCCGTCGCCGCCCCGTCGCCACCCCGCCTCGGTTTGTTCTACCTCGGTTCGTTGCAGCGGTGCCTCCAATCACCGGACAGGCCCTCTCCCGAGCTTCGTTGCAGCGGTGCAACATGGACTTATAAGTCCCTGTAAACAAACAGGTAGGGACTCGAGACTTATAAGTCCCTGTAAACAAACAGGTAGGGACTTATGACTTATAAGTTGGGACTTAAAAAAGTCCTAGGACTTATGAAACAAACATGGCCTACATGATGACAAAGTACAGGTTGCATTTTTCATGAAACTAAATCACACCTTTTAGAAAATCAGCTTGACACACAAGAGCCTAGATATGGCTGACGTGCACACGAGGTGCACTGTCGTAGATACTTTTTGGCATAGGACGACCTGAACTGTGGATCGTTTGAATGGGTTCCTCGGCGACACAGACCACCAACGTTAGCGGACCCTCCACCTTTTGGTTGCCCACGCCACGGGACGGGAACGGTCTCCGTGACTGCGCGCGTCAGCCCTCCTGCTTCCTCCGTCCCACTACAAAACCCCCCAGCCTCCCAACCTCAGAGAGTGCTCCTCTCCATTCACCACCTCTCCCTCCTCACAAGAGCATCGCCATTCTCAACAACCACACCACGTCGATCGCCAAGGTCCGTGCCTCACAACCACCGCGTAGCTAGCTAGCTAGGTTGCTGTGTTCGGGCAGCCGAGCGGGGTACGAGCCGGAGACGATGATGATGATGGGCGGTCGCGCGGGGGCCGGCGGCGTCGGGGCCGGCGGGGGCCGGTGCCCGTTCACGGCGACGCAGTGGCAGGAGCTGGAGCACCAGGCGCTCATCTACAAGTACATGGCCTCCGGCGTGCCCATCCCCTCCGACCTCCTCCTCCCGCTCCGCCGCAGCTTCCTCCTCGACTCCGCCCTCGCCACCTCCCCCTCCCTCGCCTTCCCTCCCCAGGCCGCACGTACGTACCGTGTCCGTGTCTTCTTCACCGACTTGTTTACTTTGATTTGCTTCCATGTCGACCTTGCTTGCATGCGTTTACGTGTTGATACTGACTCGTGATGGTGTTGCAGTGGGCTGGGGATGTTTCGGGATGGGGTTCGGCCGGAAGGCGGAGGACCCGGAGCCGGGGCGGTGCCGGCGGACTGACGGCAAGAAGTGGCGCTGCTCCAAGGAGGCGTACCCGGACTCCAAGTACTGCGAGAAGCACATGCACCGCGGCAAGAACCGTTCAAGAAAGCCTGTGGAAATGTCCTTGGCCACGCCCCCGCCGCCGCCTTCCTCCTCGGCCTCCTCCTCCTCCTCCAACGTCCACTCCGCCGTCAACGCCGCCACCACCACCACCTCCCCCGCGCCGTCCTACCACCGCCACGCCGCCGCGACTCACGACACGACGCCCTACCACACGCTCTACGGCGGCCCCTACTCCTCCGCCGGCCGCCAGCAGCACGCCAGCGCCTACCACCACGCCGCGCAGGTCAGCCCGTTCCACCTGCACCTCGACACCACCCACCCGCACCCGCCGCCGTCCTACTACTCCACCATGGACCACAGCAAGGACAGCTACGCCTACGGGCACAGCGTCAAGGAGGTGCACGGCGGCGGCGAGCACGCCTTCTTCTCCTCCGACGTCACCACTGACAGGGACCACCACCACCACCAACACCACGCCGGCGCCGGCGGCAACGGGCAGTGGCAGTTCAAGCAGCTCGGCGGCATGGAGCCCAAGCAGCACAACCCCACGTCGCTCTTCCCCGGCTGCGGCGGGTACGGCAACAACGCGGCGTACGCCATCGACCTGTCCAGCAAAGAAGAGGACGAGGAGAAGGAGAGGCGGCAGCAGCAGCAGCACTGCTTCCTGCTGGGCGCCGACCTGAGGCTCGACAAGCCGTCGTCGGGGCACGGCGACTCCGCCGACCAGAAGCCTCTCCGGCCCTTCTTCGACGAGTGGCCGCACGAGAAGACCGGGAGCAAGGGGTCGTGGATGGGGCTCGAGGGGGAGACGCAGCTCTCCATCTCCATCGCCAACGAACTCCCCATCACCACCACCTCCCGCTACCACCATGGTACGTACGTTCAGCTCTTCTTCTCTTGCACTTTGAAACTAGCCATTAGTTTCCCTGGCTCAATGGTTCGCTTTCACGATCTGCAGGTGAATGATCCCAAGTCCCAACGAGACCAAGTACGAAGCTGCAACGAGAGACCATCTCCACGAAGAACACGCACGTACGGAGCGAATCCATTGGTCCTTTCCCGGCGTGCTACTCCAGCTGCATGCCCGCCAAGACCTGGACCAGCTACCTCGAGGCATGCATGCACAGTTCGAGCGCTGAAGATCTTGAAAGGCCGGAACCTACCTACTACGACCATCATTTTCATTTCTTCTTCCTTCTCCTTCATTTGTAATCTTTGCTTTGGTCGAGTGTAACATTTCCGCGACATCCATGGCGTGGCGAGGCTACTATGTTGAGGCAATCTGAATCTTTCATTAGCGGAATAGATTTTCTTAGATGAGATGCTAGCTTCCGAGCTGAGCTAAGCCGAGCGTGTTCGCTTTAGCTAATGTCCTTTTTCTTTTCTCATTCGGATTCCTCTGTGAGACTGTCTGAGATGGTTTGTCACATCTGCTGATTCTGCTCAAAGCTCAGAAGCCCGCCCGCACCACACACACACTGCTCAGCATCAGCAGCTTTACTTTATGCTCTCTGAGACGCTCGTACAGGTACTTATTTAGGACAATACAGTACTCCAACTTGGTCACTCACACCATGCCTCTGATGATAAGTGCTAAGCATACTGTTACTTTTTCCTCCACGACTGACCTTTTGGCATGGTCTTTGCTTTGCCCCTGTCAAGCGCAGGCCTCCTACGCTCTCTAGTCTCTACCGTTTGTTTCGTGATGTCACGTCACAAGCTAGAGCTAGAGCTAGGTTTCAGTGCTGCACACGCTGCATTCCAAGTCCGGCAAAATTGATAAATTTGACCTATGGACGAAATCAAATCACAGAATGAACTGCCGGTGAAATTATTTCACGCGGCTGACCTTTTTGTGTGACGCCCGACACGAAGGCGCCACACTACACTGTGCAACGCCTCGCAGATAGGCGCTACACGTCTGACCAGCGTTGCACCCGTGTGATCCGAAAATTACTAAGTCAGTGTGCAGCGCCTGAGAGCTAGGCGCCACACTATACAGTGTAGCGCCTATCTTCTAGGCGTTGCACTAGTGGCTGCTTCATTTTGTAGTGCAACCACTAGTGCAGCGCCTGAGAGCTAGGCGCCACACTATACAGTGCAGCGCCTAGCTCGTAGGCTCTGCACAATGACTTAGCAATTTTTAGACAGTCTAGGATGCAATGCTGGCCAGGCGTGTAGCGTCTATCTATGAGGCATTGCACAATGTAGTGTGGCGCCTTCGTGTCGGGCGTCACATAAAAAGGTTAGCCGCGTGAAATAGTTTCACGGATAGTTCATTCTGTAATTTAATTTCATCTACAGGTTAAATTTGTCAAATTTGCCGCCAAGTCCAAGCTCTATTCAGCCGTTTCTCACTCAGTCGCTGCGAGAAGCTGGCTGGATGCAGTGCCACTGGCCGAGCAGCAGGGGGAAGAGGAGACTGACAACGACTCCTGGGCTGGGCGAATTGAATGGCTGTCAGTGGCAGCCGCAGTGCAATTGCTGCCGGCCGGCCAGCCAGCCCAGCCCCTGAGACGATGTCAGGGCGTGTGTCAGGCGTTGCGCCCATGCGACGGATTGACCGATCTAGGCTCAGATTTGCTGAGTGCTGACCGGCGTCCTGCATCTGCATGCCAGCGCTGCGTGGCCCCCTGCATGCATGCATGCGCTCCACAGTGGGTTTGGGTAGGTCGCTGTCTGCCGTAGCACCGCCGTGACAGTGTCGAGAGCCATGGGCGCATGTACCGGTTGAGCGGTATGCGTCCCTGCCCCGTGGGCCAGCCAATGCGTACGTCTAAACACTGTAGCCAGTCCCTACGTTAGCCGCAGCGCGAAGCCCCGAACCCTTTCAAATGCATATCAACTTGGAGAAACTTGCTAGTGGTAGTACCACTCTTCTAGGGTTATTAATGGATGGATCCGTTTACTTCTGGCCGGCAGTTCGTACAGCTCGAGCTAGAGGTTAAATTGATTTCAGTGCGTAACCACGAGTTTGTTGGCCGAAACGGCCAAGAAACCGGTCAGTACGCGTCAGTCGGCCGTACGTACGCGGCCACTAAACATTAGCCCGGCGGTAGCATCTCTGCGCCAGCGGCGCCGATTAAACAAAGCCGCACGGCCACCGCTGCCACGCACGCACGCCCGGTCCGTTCAACGTCGAGCCGAGACCGACCCGTGCGCCACCACCTGCAGCGCAGCGGCGAATCTGCGGCCTGCCGGCAGGGTTCACGTGAGGGCGCACGAGGAGAGGCGCTCGACGACGGGTCCCGGCGGTGGTGGCGGTGGGCGTACGGCGCCGTGTCTCCGCCGTGCCCGTGCACGCATCAGTATCATCTACATGTATGTCGCCGTGTTAACTGAACGGGGATAGAGAAATCGGCCTCCGCCGCTTTGGAGATGGCTAGCAATGGTGGCACCGCATGTGCTGCTGACATTGTCCCCTCCCTCCCTCTCCCCAGCTATTGCGCCATGGTCCTGGCTGCCATTTCCGTGTAAGCTTCGGCATGTGCTGGCCTGCTCTGGTCTCTGATCCCTGCCTGGTGTGGCGCCTAGTATATTGGCGTGGTGACCACTGATTTGTTTTTGCTTTCCTGTTTGGAGCGGGAGGTTCAATGGCGCTGCATGTCTGCATCATGGTATGGGCAGGCACCTGCACCGGCCCCCGCGACACGGTTACGCGAAACCCAGGAGAAAAACGATCGACGGAGAGCATGTCTGGTTCCTTTGATGATTATAATCAGAAAGCTGTTACGGTTTCTACGGTGCTTGGTGCAGCAGCACCATCAGTATGTTCTTCCTTGTGTGTAGAAATCATGGCGAAACACGTGTCAAGCTATGCGCACTGACTAACAAGGTGGTAAGCGTAGAGGATTCATTCAAGTCAAAGGGCGACAGGCAGATCAAGGGCCAGCTGAGCTGATCAGGGGCAAGCAAAAAACAATGGTGATTAGCTAGAAAAAGCGACTGTCATGTTGATGGGCAACCTAGAACTCTGGGATCCTGTCAGGGGCAAACCGGCTAAACAACCGTCATGCGCGGTGAATTAGTAGTAGCTGGTACTAGCTAGACATGCCGATTTAACTAACCGGGCTGCGCAGTCTGACACCTCGGGATGGCGAGCCCTGCAACGTGCTCACCGCAGGCGCAGGGAAGCCGGTAGCGGTAGCTCGCGGCCACGACCCTTTCCTCCTTTGAATACTGGGATCGGGAGGTCGGTGTGGCGCCGAGATGCCTGCCTCTTCGCCGCGTCGTCACCGCACGCGTTAGTCAGTACTGTCTACTGTACATCAGTTTAGTTTAAATTTTGAACCCTCTGCGTCAGTTTTCTTGGGTTATTTTGTCAGTTCAGGGGGATCCGATGCGGGCAGAGGATGTATTTATCTCGGTTTCCCGTGCTCCATCGCCAGTGTCGCGGCTCGTCAGGGCGCTTAAACTAGACGTCGTAATCTAACTAATACTGTACTAAGGTGCGTCGATCGGGCCTGGGGCTCTGGGTGCAGGTGCAGGTGCAGTGCAGGAGTATCAATCGATGTTCAGACACGGAAGCGCCTGCACATTGTCAGCTAAGTCAGTGGTGCACTCCAACTTGACGAGATGCTGCTTGTGGCTCCAATGGCTTTGCTTCTAGCATCGGTGCTAGTACTTCTGTTACTGTGCAGCTGTGACAGACTGAAAGCCTCTGACAGAACGAGGATTAGGGCGTGGCCTGCAGCCTGCTTGGTTGGTTTGCCTCAATCTCTGGCCTGTTTCCGCTGCTCCTCCAAGCATGTCTTGTGCAGGCGGCACTGCAGCTCCACAGCGGACAGTGCGTTGCTCTTGCTTCAGCAAAAGATCAGATGAAAGCAGGGCAAAAAAACATATTTGACCCGTGGACGAAATCAAATCAAGATCTCAACTGCTTTTGTAAAAACATCACAAACTGACCATTTTATGTGGCGCCTGACAACAGGGCGCTGCACTCCACTATGCAGCGCCTTTGCCTTAGGCGTCGCACACCTGGCCAGCGGGCAGCCCCACAGTCAGCCGTGCAGCGCCTAAGCGCTAGGCGCCACACAGTGTAATGTGCCGCACCCAGCCTTAGGCGCTACACGTTGACTTAAACCGCATCGGCCCAGCCCTCCCCAGGCAGTTCTTCCCTCTCCCGGGCCAGTTGCTCTCTGTAACA